CCTTTACCTGCTAGGACAAAACAGCCCCCAAGCCCCTTTTTGAGCCATCAGTCTGCAGAACAGAAGGTAGAAAAGGTTTAGGCGTGTAGAGCAGGGGTTTCCCACAGAGACCCTTCTTTACCTGCAATAAACACCGCCTGGCACTGCCCCGTCCATTAGACCAACCAGGGGTACTCTTTCGGATGAGGTCAGTCAGTCTGGCGGTTGTACCCAGCCAGCCCCAAGAACCGCCTCAGCTCTGTTTCGGTCTTAGGCCTTGGGCAGGATGCGATGGCTGCCGTTTTATCCACCTGTGCCTGCCCCCCCGAGTGGTTCCTCAGATACTGTACCTCCCTCCGTCCAACTTCACACACATCTAAATTTTTGTGTGGGCTTAGACCAGTTTTCTTGAGTCCTGTCCACAGCTTTCTCCCAAACAGTAAATCAAAGGGAGAAAGTGGAAGAAGTTGTTCACGGCCAAACCAACAGTCGCATCCAGACTGGTTGGGTGGTGCACACCGACATACATACCTCTCCCCTCCGGTCCAGGCACCATCCTTACAGGGGAGGCTGGTTCACTGATGGAGATCAGGTGCACGTCAACCTCCCCTGACACCACTCCTCCACCCCTCCCCTGCAACTGAGCCACACCCCGCCACACGTACACGGTGGATCTCCTCCTAAGCCTAGGCCACACTCAATTTTAAAATGCACAGTCATCTTAAGCTAATATGTGGCTTCCTGCTGTGGTTATGCAATCCTGTGAGATTGTGCACAGCAAGGAAACGTATGTAAATGCTAATGGTGTCATCAATTGTTGTCGTGTCATTGTGCAGAGAACATTCACTTTGTGAGTTCATACTAGCACTGTGTCCATCTCTGTATTTTCATATGTTCTACTCTGTGTGCAGGTGTCTGCTTTGGAGCAGGAACTGAAAACTGTTGAGGATCAACTGAAATTGCTGCAAGAGATGCAAACAGCAGAGTAACTGAAGCCTTCGCAGTAGCTGTGTGGACTGCTGTAGGAAAAAAGCTGCTGTTTCATTATTTATAATATTATAGTCAAAAATATGAACTTTCTATTATGTAATGGAGTTATACACTGTGTAAGTAGCAGTCCTGTCTGGCTCCAGGTGTTTTGAGCATAGTGGAAGCATCTGCATTTGATCTGTTGCTCTTATTCCAAAAATATTGTCTTCTGTTCTGGCCTTTTAAAAACTCTGATTTTAAAATAATTTTTATGATCAACTTTTCATTTTCATTGTTTTACCATGAATGCATTTCAAATCTGAATATTGCTGTGGGAAAGCCCTTTTTGAGTATATCATAATTTAGACCCCAGAAGAATCATGGAGTGAATAAAGGAGGCTAAATAACTAACATGCGAACTAAAACAGCAGTTAATCTATTGAAAGAAAATAAATATATCATTGAAATTCAATATTTTTTTTAAATACATCGATTAGAGACTAAATGTAGAAAGCTAACTTTGAGTGTTCATACAGAAATTCATCCTCTTACTTTGCTATAAACAGCAGGAAGTCAGCACTCGTATCTAATGACAGCATGAAGGTTTCCTGCACAGCTTCACCTTCTCCCAAAGAGCATGGACAAGAAGAGCGGTCCGAGTTCAAAGCTCAAGCAACACTTGGCATAAAGATCAGCTTTATTACTTCACCAACATGTTTCAGCCTGTGGGTTTCATCGGGGTCGTCAAGAACTGCCCAGATTTCACAGCCATGTTTTCCACAGGTTAACAGTCCTAGTTATGGTGGTTTTGTGTGGCTGCAGACGTTCCCTGTTTGTCTGTCATGCAGGCGGTCAGTAGCTGTGACAGTTTGCCAGAAAACAGCTTTTACCCAAATTCTGAAAACTGCCTATGCAGAAGTTATTAACCTCAACTCCTCAGAACATCCTTAATTAGATCACATAAGCAAAGAAAAGTAAAAACACTCCCAGGGATTCTACCTATTCATGAGCAGGTTGCACCGTTCTTAAGTGCTCAGCCAAACACCCTGAGTGACTGTAGGAAGACTTTCCAAGCTTCTTCCCCAGTTGCAGCTGGGACAGGCTGCGCACACTCAGATGTACATACTTCCTGGCACATTCGTGATTGTGCCGAGCAGCGAGCCTTAATTTTAGCTGGAAAGTATCAGCTTTCCTAGAAATAAAGAAAGAACCTCGAGATTATGCCACAGTCCTAGTTCCAAACATATGCTGTTGAGTATTTGCTTATCTTGTTTAATCACTGAAGTGAGGAAACTTTTTTTTGTCACATTTATTCAAACTGTGTTTTAACTTCAAAGCTTTAGGGTTACATCTAGGTTACAGTTTGGTGCAGTTGTGATGATTTAGCTTTGGAGTTGGAGTACTGGAATAATTGCAGTCTGTGGAAGTTAATAACAAAAGGAAACAGCTGTTAGCCAAAGAGAAGTCAAGACGGTAACTGGAGGTCCATGACTTCCTGGATGAACACCACTGCCAGTACATAAAGTGGGTAATCTCCTTGTGCCCAAGATCTTGCATAAACCCAGTCTTGTTTTGGATTTGAAGGCTACACTGTAACTACTATGTGATGGCCTACGTTCAGCTCTCCAATCTAGTAAACAGCTTCAAAGTTACTGACATGAGTTAAAGTCATCCACCTGATTTGTAACTTTAGTTCATTACCTGCTGACTATCAGTGTAGTAAACAAATGTGATGACTCACACAAGCATGAGGAACACCAGTTCCTGGACCGCTGACAGTGTGGGTCCACGTTAGGGCAGTACAACCTTGCAGCTGTGCTATGTCCCATTGGACAGATGTACTATAGCGACAGTCCCGTCACCACTGCCTGGATGTCACTACACCCTTTACAGAATTACAAAAACCTTCTGATAGGGCAAGACTTGTGTTTTTGTATCTGTGGAGGTGAACCATTCTCCTGGAGTGATAAAGCTTTTCTCCGTTCTCTTAATTTGTGTGCCCAGAAAATGCCACTAAACCATTCATATTAAAAACACATTCACTGTAAGGAAAACAGTGCAATAATTTACTGTGGCAGTATGTCATGCCTCCACTTCTAAAATACGTCTTCAGGAGAGAGGAGGCCTGCCAGAAGAGTTGGAGGATGCACGTTTTTAGTTTCTGTGTATAACGAGGTACAGCACAGCTGCAAAAACAAACCATGGTTGGATGACTTACAAACAACTACTATTTTATCTTTAAGGTGATGCCCCTGTGTTTGTGTGTGATCATTTTACTGTTTTAAGTATATCTTGTAACATTTGCTCAAGTTGTGAATTTATTTAACTAACTACTATCCTAACCTTTCCTTGCAAACCACGCAGACGTTAGATGTAACACAACTGAATTTCACATTCCCAGTAACACATTGAAGCCTACAAAGCAGTAGGTCCGACCTCTATGGAGTGTCTAAGAAAACCTGCGGCAACAAGTGAAGACTGGACTGATCAGAGAAAAGTGATTTTGTGAGCTGGAAAGATGTGAGTTTGTCAGGGATTAGACTTCGGCTCGGTTCGGGTCAACTCGGTTCTAAGCCAGTCGACAATCCGGAAGTGTAGTTTTGTGCAATCAAAAGAAAAATGCCATCAACACACATGGGAGGTAGTGGTCTGTGGAGTAAGTGAAGCCCCTGGCTGCAGGGACACAGAGAAGCGCTTCCCTCTGCAAAGTTTCTCCGTGGAGCACAGACCGCTAGCAGTCTGCCCCCTGCTGCGGAGCAGACACTGTAGCCGGCTAACATAGACAGCTGCTGGCGCTGGATACGGGAACGAGGCCGGGAAGATGACGGAACAGGAGGCGGATAAGGTGCAGAAAGTGATACTGGGGCCTCTGTGAACCCACTCAGAAATGTGCTGCTTAATGTCACACCATAAGAAATAAGAGGGGCTCGACTAGCTAACGTCAGCTAGCTCGCCAGCTAGCCGGTTAGTGCTGCAGCTCGATGAGCCTCAGTTCATTTGGAAATGCAAGCCTCGTTTAGCGGGCCAGCACGGCATGAGAGAGGTGAGTGACCCTGGATCCTGCCGCTGCATCCTGTCGTTGACTGGGGCGGCTGTTCAGCTAAAAAGCTGTCGTTGTGGCTATTTGGCGTTAGCCGGCTTGCTAACAGCACGTCAGCGCAAGTGAACTGGTTAGCTGGCCGTGAGGATGATCGGTACGTGTGTGATGCTCAGAGACCGCTGTAGAGGGGACAGACACTGGGCACGGCCCTGCTGCATTTAACACGCACCGTGTCCTGTGCTTGAACTCGGCTTCAGCGACACTGGGCATATGAAGCGAACAGTTCAGCGACACAGACGGCTGCTGTGTGCAGAGTGGACGAGTCAGCTGAAAGCAGAACAACAAGTTTGTAGTGTTGGCAAACTAAGGCGTCGGCCGCCCTCCCAGTCCTTCCCTGCCAGCCCCCAGTTCACAGGAATCATGTGAGCCGAACACCGGTAAGCCCGGTCCGTTACTTCAGTAGGTTCGTGCCGCAGGCTGCTCTCTGTCATCCTACCAGTCAGCTCCACGTCGGCTGGCGGAGGGAGGAGGGGATTCACCGAGACTTTCAGCTGGTACGCTTTGTGACAGGAGCAACAGTTTCTTCTTCTGCTCGGCTCCTCTTGTCGGCTTGAAGCCCTGCATGGCTGAACAGGACCACGACTTCAGGTACAGTTGGCAGTGAGTTTAACTTGCTGGGCTTAGTCTCTCTGACCAGTTTGTGTCTGTCTGTTCTCTCAAATTTGAGGCTTTTTTAATTTCAGTTGAGCTGATGATGTCTGACACTGTCTGGGACTCTTGACCCTTTCTTTAATAAACTCTTTTGCAAATAATCAAGCTGCTTGATATATTAAACAGAGAGTCATCTGAGAAGTAGTCTCATGGATATTTAGCATAGGTAAACTTACAGAGATCATTATTAAAGGAATCAAAAATACTCATAGCTATCTAATGTCACAGTGCTGTTAAAAGTACCTAGTACATGATTGAAAGCTTCAGATTGCAATGGTGAAGAGTTAGAGAGACAAGCCTTACCTTTAACCCCATTCTCAAGTCCACACAGCATTGAACTCTAAATTGGTTTGTTTTGCATATAGGTGGGCGTCTTTGATCGAGTTTTCCTTAGCAAACTGTTTTCATACACAGGTTCTTGACAGTATTGCAAGAATGAGGCAGAGACATGTCTTGATGCATGTTCAAATCCCCAAAAATGCATTCTGTTCATCTGGACTTAGGAGAAACGTTTCGTCACTCATCCAAGAAGACTGGTGGTTCAGTCCTGGGCGATTCTAGTCTTCAGTCTGCATGTCAAATGTCCCGGGCAAGATACTGAACCCCAAGTTGCTCTCTGATGAAGTATGAATGTTTGTAAAAATATAAATTAGAAAGTGCTTGTGTGAATAGGTGAATAAGAACCGTTGTATAAAGTACTTTGGCTGCTCGAGTGTAGTAGAAAAGCACTATATTAGAACCAGTCTACTCCATTACAGGCTGGTTTTCAGCTCTAGTCCCGGGCAGATGGACAATTTTTAAAAAGCTATAAATGCAAATGTATTTAACAATGGCTTAATCACTGTTACAGATAATCACAACTAATATATATTGCTGTACAATGTTAAAATTTAAGAGATTAAAATGCAGTTTGAAAGAGAATTAGTACTAACTAGCTGGCAGCCAAAATCAACTTTTAATCTTGATCCAGCTGTCTCCAGCTGTTGTGTTCTCACGCATACCTCGGTCATAAAACGTTAGGGTTGCTGTGCATGTTTGAAAATTGTTGTATTGCTTTATACAGTTAAAGCAAAACTAAATTGAAATGAAATAAATATAAATGTTACTGAAGGAAATAAGATAAGTGAAACATGAGAGAAGTTTACATTAGTCAATTAATATACTCATTTTCCAATTTCATGAGAGATTTGCATGAATAGTTTATATATTTCCAGAACATGTTTTACATCAAGTATTCTTTGCACAGTTTGATATTACACCTCTCATTTTATTGTCACTACAATATAATCTAACATTCATCTTTTTCCATTTAAAGTTGCCATACATATAAGACCAAGCGCCTCAAGGTGCTTTACGTTGTAGTGCAAAAACCTACAGTACTGTAAAGTATAATCCCCAAATATTGTGAGAGTATTTTAAGCTCTATAGAGGGCTGTCACTGCATTCTGTCATGTTTTTATATGCCACGTAGCTGACATCTATCACTATAGCCGTCTTACTCTGCTTGTTTATCGCTACCATTTCTGGTTGGTTAGCCACCACCAGTTTTTCCGTCTGTATCTGGAAGTCCCACAGGATCTTAGCTCAGTCATTCTCGACCACCCTAGGGGGCGTCTCCCATTTTGACCTCGGGACCTCCAGGGGTTTCCATGCTTCTGAC